GAGTCAACCGCGGAGGTCACGCCCCCTGGGAAAGGGCGGGGCATGCAAATTTGAAATGAAAGCCCGGGAACGACAGAACAATCTCGGGTGTAAGATTTCCCTTTTCAACGTGGAGAATAAGAAATCGGCCCGAGTGTGTAATGGCACCAATAGTGGTGTGGAAGAGACCAAGGTAATGAGGGGAATGAGGCAAAGAGAAAGGCTGGAGCTCTCACCGCGACTTGAATGTGGATGAGAGTGGGACGGTGACTGCGGGGGCGAGGGCAACAGCATCGCTTCTCGGCCTTTTGGCTAAGATCAAGTGTAGTATCTGTTCTTATCAGTTTAATATCTGATACGTCCTCTATCCGAGGACAATGTATTAAATGCATTTTTGGAATTAGGAGATGGAACAGGAGCTTGCTCTATCCACTCCACGCATCGACCTGGTATTGCAGTACTTCCAGGAACGGTGCACCCCCCCCTCGGGGGATACAATTAGTCTATAAAGTTAGAAATTGAAATGCTTTGCCGCAGTTTGCTTATAGTTCCTAATAAAGTTAATAATATTTCAAAGTTTGTTATCACGTGGCATCATGGTAGATTCTGAATCTTTGGAGGCACTTAGATTTTAACTTGGCATTTGAGAGGTGATAACTTTTTTAAAAACAAAGTTCACCAGATAACAATCTGGGTTTTAACTTTTCTCTCTTTCTTTAAAACATTTAATTTCCGGGATACAAGTATAGAACTTGCAGGTTTGCTGCATGGGCGTGCGGGTGCCATGATAGTTTGTGGCTCATAACTCAAAAAACTGGATGAGAAAGAAATCAGGTCAAATCTGGCTCTGAATTCCCATCTCACTGAGCAATGGCGCGATCTCAGCTCACTGCAACCTCCGCCTCCCGGATTCAAGCAATTCTCCTGCCTCAGCCTCCCAAGTAGCTGAGATTACAGGCACCTGCCAATGCATCCAGCTAAGTTTTTTTATTTGTAGTAGAGATGGGGTTTCAGCATGTTGGCCAGGCTGGTCTCAAACTCCTGAACTCAGATGATCCACCCACCTCAGCTCCCAAAGTGATTACAGAATTGAGCCACCATGACTGGCCTCAATCTCAGGCATCCTTATGGCTTCTTTGTCCCCATTAAGGTCCCCAAGAATCTAGAAAGCTGACATAGACCAAGAAAGAAACTTTTGTATTCAGTTTATAACATTACTGTTAATATAGTCATTGTCTCAACCCCCATGGTACTTTGAAGTCTTCTGGTTCTCATACTTACATGCTGTACCTGGGATGGGAATCTAGGACCATCTTAGGACCCAGTGCCTATGCTACAGCCCACAGTGCATCCCCACCCTGCTCTGAGACTTACAGCTCCATAATCCCTAAAATAAGAAAATTCTCCAAGACTCCATTCTATGAGAAGCAATGGACCATTCTCTCCTCCTGGGCTTCAGATGTCCTCTGCTTGCTCTTCCCTCCTTAAAACATTGCTCAGAGATACCTAGCATCATGAGTCAAGATTTTCCCAAAGGACAGGATGAGAGGATATTTTCAGGCAGCCTCTGCATGCCATGGAGGTCCTGTCTCCCTGCTTAGAGTAGAGGAAATAAAATTTTCTGAGTAAAAAGAAATTATCTCAATATTCAATTCTAACATCCCCACACAAGGGCTATAAATTGGTGAATTGTCCTCTCCCAGCACATTGATTCTAGCCTGAGGCCTTGGATTCAGAGAGATTAACAGAGATCTCTGTCTACTCTCAGGATCATAGCTGACCTAAGCTAATGATGTCAAGCCCAGGTAGGAAAGAATGATGTTAGTTAGATCTTCCCAGAAGCAGATGCCAGGACAGGATTAAACCTAGAAAGGCTGTTGTTTTTGTTTTAAGGGCAATATTTGTTTTAAAAAAAAAAAGAAAAAAAGAAAAAAAACAGCAGTGGGGAAAGGAAGGGCAGCAAGAGAAGGCTAGAAACACACTCAGATAATGATTTAAGAAACAGTGAGGGCCAAGCACCGTGGCTCACGCCTGTAATCCCAGCACTTTGAGAGGCAGAGGCAGGTGAATAACCTGGAGCCAGGAGTTCAAAACCAAGCTGGCCAACATGGTGAAACCCCATCTCTACTAAAAATAGAAAAGCTCGACCAAAGTCCCAGCTACTCCGGGAGGCTGAGGCAGAAGAATCACTTAAATCCGGAAGGCAGAGGTTGCAGTGAGCTGAGATTACGCCATTGCACTATAGCCTGGGCAACAAAGTAAGATTCTGTCTCAAATATAGATAGATAGAAATATCGATAGAGATAGAGAGATAGAGACATATACCTCATGAACTTACACTAAATTTTTAAAATCAGATAAATTAATGAAAACCACTAGAAGCCAACAACTACAAATTGTTTGAAAAACAGAAACTTCCAAGCCAGTAAACTATTTCAGAACACTAAAAAAGAAAGTTTCCAATTTCTTTTCATAGAATCATTATTTATTGATACTACATTTAATGCATATATCACAATAACATCAAAATTTATGGAATAATTTATGAACATGAATGCAGAAGAATAAATTAAAAGTATTCATAAATAGAAGTCAGGAACTTACTAAAAAATAATATACCAGAACAAAATAGATTTGAACCTGGAAAGAACAGGTAAATATTAAGAAACCTATTTATATAATTTACTAACTTAGTCAATTGATCAAAGTAAAAACATAAAAAAATTGTATATCCAGAGATGCTATAAAATCATTTGATAAAATTAAACATTGGCTGGGCATGGTGGTTCATGCCTATAATGCCAGCACTTTGGGAGGCCAAGACGGGCAGATCAATTGAGGTCAGGAGTTCGAGACCAGCCTGGCCAATATGGCAAAACTCGTGTCTACTAAATACAAAAATTAGCTGGTATGGTAGTGCACGCCTGTAATTCCAGCTACTCGGGAGGCTGAGACAGGAGACTTACCTGAACCCAGAAGACAGAGGTTGCAGTGAGCCTAGATGGTGCCACCACATTCCAGCCTGGGTGACGGAGTGAGACTCTGTCTCAAAAAAAAAAAAAAAAAAAAAAAACATTACTTCTTGATTTTTAAATAATTCTTTCTTAATACAAGTACATATAGTCATGCCTATCTATACTTATTTTTGTGAAAAAATTCTTAAGCCAAAGCCTGGTGTTAAGATAAATGGTGAAGTGCTGTAAACAATTCAATTAAAGTCAGAAACTAGACAAGTTTTAAATTATTGTTACATCTATTTAGCATATATCTGGAAGTACTGGTCAACACAGACAAAAGAAATAGATATAGTGGAAAGAAAGAAGCAAAATTATTTGTTGCAGCCAATATGATGTTCAGACAATAACTGTAAAACTATTGGAAGCAATAAGAGAATTCAGTAATGTGACTGTGTAACAATAAATAGACTTTTAATAATAAATGTCTAAAAATAGACTTTTAAAATAATATGAATAGTTCCATCATATGGAAACAACAACATATTTTTTCCTACTACACAATCTGTTTTCTTCCTACTAAATAAAAATAATCTTTCCCTGCTTGCAAGCTAAAAGTTTAGTCTGCCACAGTTTCATGGATGTTGGCAGAGAGGTAAGACTCCTTACTCAGAAACAAAAGATATTGTTACAGTAATTACAGTAGTCAGACTATTAGCATTTTCTGTGACGATTTCCTGAGCTCTAGTTTATGCAGGCCGGGGCAAAAGAGGGCCAGGTGACACCTGCGCCTGCAGTGATCTGCACTACAGGACGAGAGGCCTGAGTTCAGGGAATGTGAATATTTTATACTAGACCTTAAACATGCCTGCCCTTTGTCACTAAGGGAGATACTAACTCTATCTTTTAAGTCTGTTTGCTATATTACGTCCTTGAAAAGATAGTCTAGAACAAAGGCAGAAAAACCCAAGACATGCAGAAACAGGAGAGCCCCTGGAGGATTATTTCCCAACACAGCTTAGAGAAAACTTTAAATGCTACTTGGAGCCAAGAGCAGTGGCTCATGTGTGTAATGCCAGCACATTGGGAGGCCAAGGTTGGTGGATGCTCTGAGGTCAGGAGTTCAAAACCAGACTGGCCAATGTGGCAAAACTCCATCTCTACCAAAAATCTAAAAAAAAAATTAGCTGGGTGTGCCAGTGCACACGTACTCCCAGCTACTCGGAAAGCTGAGTCAGGAGAATTGCTTGAACCTGGGAGAGGGAGGTTGCAGTGAGCTCAGATCACATCACTGCACTCCAGGCTAGGCAACAGAGCAAGACTCTGTCTAAAAAAGAAAAACCAACTACCTGGAATATAAATGAAGATTTCATAAATTGGAAGATCTACCCTATTCTTGGATAATACCAATAAATATAATGAAAGTCTAATTACTCCTAAATTAATCTATAAATGTAATGCTAATCCAATTAAAATACCAATCAGTGGAGCAACAGAAACTCTCCTTCGTTGCTGGTAGGATTAGAAAACCAAGCAGCTGGCCGGGTGCGGTGGCTCACGCCTGTAATCCCAACACTTTGGGAGGCCAAGGTAGATGGATCACGAGGTCAGGAAATCGAGACCATCCTGGTCAATATGGTGAAACCCCGTCTCTACTAAAAATACAAAACATTAGCTGGGCATGGTGGCGCGTGCCTGTAATCCCAGCTACTCAGGAGGAGAATTGCCTGAACCCAGGAGGCGGAGGTTGTGGTGAGCCGAGATGGCGCCATTGCACTCCAGCCTGGGTACCAAGAGCGAAACTCCGTCTCAAAAAAAAAAAAGAAAAGAAAACCATGGTGTGTGAAGGGGAGACATATAGCAATTCGGTATTTTTCTGCTTAATTTTTCTGTAAACCAAAACTGCTCCAAAAACTTAATCTAAAAACATTTAAGTTTTTTTTTTTTTTTTTTTTTTTGAGACGGAGTTTCACTCTTCTTACCCAGGCTGGAGTGCAATGGCGCGATCTCGGCTCA